GGGGAGCCCCGAGTTGGCCACGGCGCTCCAGATGTGGCCTCCCCGGGGCAGAGCAGAGCAGAGGGGGAGGATGACCTCCCTCCCCCTGCTGGCCACGCTCTTCTTGATGCCCCCCGGGATGCCCTCGGCCGCCTCGGCCACCAGGGCCCCTTGCTGCCTCGTGGTCACCCATCCCCCCCTTCCCCGGGGGCTGCTGGAGCCAAAGAGGGGGTTTTGCGGAGGTTTTGTCCCCCGGTTGTCTCAAGGGGACGAGGAAAGGACCAGCAGAGCGGGAGCAGAGAGCTCTGGCTCAGCCTGGTCACGGCAGTCACGATCCGGGCTCAGAGTGAGGGGTTTTTAGGGGATTTGTTGTTTTTTTTTGTTGGTTTTTCTTTTGTTTTTAAGAGCCAAACTTCTCGAAACACGGCTGCCGACACGAGAATCACCCACGTCCTCAAAAAACACCACCCGAGCACAAGGCGCCGATTCGCAAAGAAGCAAAGGGGAAGGAACCTCTTCCTGCCACCAAAACTGGTTCCTTTTAGCTTTTCCCACCGCATTTTAGGACCGGCCGTGCCACACCACACACCGAATCCGTCCCCGTCAGCAGAGCTTCGTTAAAGGGACCCTAATTAACTCTGCCTCCAACCGATCCCGACCTTCAAACGCCTCTTTGGCAGCGCTGCTCCCCACAACCGACCTTTCCCGCGGCTCCGGAAAACCGAGAGCGGACGGGGTTGAGGAGCACGAATGCACGCGTGTGCGTCCCGCTGCCAAAAACGCCACATCTGAAACAAAAAACCCCAAACCCCATCAGCACGACGAGAGCTCCGCGGGCAGAGCGAGCTTCCGTTCCCACCGCTCGAGCCCCAAAGCCGCGTCTCCGCCTGCGGTTAACGCTCCCCCGGGGGGGGTTATTTCGGCGCTCCTCAAGCGGCATCGAAACCGGAGCCGAAAGAAAAGGATTTTCTGGTCCCCAAAAAGCCAGAACAACGCCGGTTATCCGCAGCGGGAGAAGCGAGGGATGGCGGCGCTCGGCTCCGGCGGAGGTGCCTTCCTCCTGGAGCGGTTCTTACGGCCGCCAAATGCCTTTGGTGCAACGGATGGCTGCGGAGAGAGGGTCCGGCTCGATATGCCACAGTTCTCCAGGAAGAACGAGGTCTTACAAGTCGTATAAACGAGGATAATAAGCCTCCGAGAGAGGTTTTCCCTTTCTCCATCGCTTTTAGCTTCGCTGCAACTCACCGTCACAAAAAAAACCCAAAAAACCTCCACCTCAACAAAACCAAACCCCAAGAAAACCAGCCTGAAAAATCTCGGCTAATAAAATCACCAGCGGCACCGTTCCGGTTGGAAACACGAAGCTCATCCCCAGGGAAAGCCGGTGTCTCGCAAAGACGCCGAAGAAAAACCAACCATCGCCTTCCCGAGGATGCCACGGCCCCGTGTTGGCTCCGAGAGGAGTCGGGGTGTTCACCGGTGGCCCCAAAACGCTTCAGAGGGGACGTCGGAGCGGGGACGGAGCCGAGAGAGGGGGGGGAAGACGGGTGGGAGCAGGCGGGGAGACGCAGGGCGAAAGGCAGAGGAACAGCAGGAGCAGGGGAATGAATTTTTCGGCGCTGAAGGATCGGCAGAGGCTCCGAACGCGCAGTTTAATCCTTCCGAGCACGATTTCCGTCAGCCCGGCTGAATCCGCTCAGCCCTGCCAACCTCCGCCTGGGTTTTTTCAGGCAAATCTGGAAACGGGTAACCCCGGGAAGGGGGAGGGAAGGAAAAGCAAGCGGCGTTATTTCCAGCGCCGCCCGACGAAAGTCCGGCGCGTCTCTGCTCCGCCAGCAAGAGGAGCTCGGCCGCTCCGCGAGGTTTGGCTCCCCCCAAAAAAAAAATCCGCGTCGAGGAGACGGGAGAGCGGAGGGAAACGGCCTCACCTCATGCGGAAAAGCAGGTTGAGGTTGGTGTCTTTGCCGATTTCGAAGAGGTGGTTGGGCGGGAGCCAGAGGCGGCTCTGGGTGTCATAGAGGGCGAAGAGGCTGTAGCAGAGCGGCGTGATGCCTGCGGAGAAAACACCATACGAAAATTCAGTCCCCCCCCCAAAAAAAAAACCCAAAAAAAAACCCCACCAACTTCTTTCTTCACCCCCACTTCTCCCAACCACACGGTTTTACCGGAGGCACAAACCCATCGCCACTACCGACGCCGCCACGGTCCTCCTCGTCCCCCACGCGCGCCAGCGGCGGAGGCAGGAGAGTCTTTAAAAACGCCGTTAAAAACAGAACTCCCCCCACGTCTGATGGCTTTCTGGTGCAGGCGGGGAAAGGGAGGGGGTGGGGGGGGGCTTTTCACTGTAACACGCC